CCGGGTCCCTAAATGAAACAGCCAACCTGCCCGCCCGCGATTATATAAAGGAGTCGCCTCCGCCCGCTGCGCCAGGGGCGTAGCGGGGGAAGGGGTTGGCGAGGGGCGGGCTGGGCTGTTGTTTTCCTGGCTTTCCAAGTTCCCCTACCCAACTGCGGGCCACTGGGCGGGACAGGGACCCGGCTGCGGACGCCTGGGTCCTGCGGTCCGCTCCCGCAAGGGTCTTCGTGGCTCAGGAGGGGCGGAGGTGGGGAGCGGGGAGGCGTTGCCTCAGCCCAACTTTTTTTCCCTGTCCATTTCTCCCACTTCCTCCCCGGTCGTGGGAGAGGTCCGGCGGGGGACGGGAGAGCGGGAGGAGGGGACGAGTGGTGAGAACAGCCTGACCCGGCCCGGCCAGCTGCCCGCTGCACACAGTAGGCGCCCGGGGAGGGCCGGCTAGTGCGATCAGCCGCTTGAGGGTCTCTGAGCCTCAGTTTCCCCTTCCTTATTCCCTTGGTCGGAAAGGCTGGCACCTGCTTCATAGTTGTCGTTTACTGCGCACTTCTAGAGTGGCTGGCTCTGTCCGGGGTCCTGTTTACCTCCATTCTAACATCTAATGCCATTATCATGATCATTCTTTATTATCATTATCATTTTTACCACCATTACCTTACAGGCAGGAAACTTCCACTGCCTTGGGTGAAATGCACCCAGTCTGTCCTTCTCTGACTTCAAAGCTTACTTCCCCCCCACCCCCCAAACTCCTGCCCTTTATTGCCTCTTCACACATGTATTAAAAGTGCCTTTCAACTCCCAACGGGTTGAATTGGCTTTTGTAATAATAATTGGCTTCAAGGGGAAACCCGGGAGGCCCCCAGAAGGGAAGTGACAGCCCCAGGACTTGCAGCCTGAAACCAGCCCCGGGTGAGTGGGAAGGTACTGAGGGAGGGGCCACATGGGTCCAGAGTGAGGGCGGAACCCAGGGACTTTGCTCTAACGACCCTGCCTGGGATATAAGCCCTCTTCCTTCCTTAAACCACCCTGCCATCAGCCTCGGGACTAGAAGGGCCAAGGAGAAACACAGTCTGCAGATCCCAGGACTGTGCTTGGGCTCTGTATATACCTGAAGCTCAGGCCTTAATCCTAAATGGTCTTACTTGCTATCCCCCCAAGCTCCAACTATTCAGCCAGAGGCAAGGGGTGACTCAGTGGCCCCACCCCCACCCCGGTACCACCCAGCCTCAGATATCCGGCGCCCTTCTCTGCAGTTGATAACCTGACTCAGAAGTGGCAGGGAACTCGTATGTAAGATTGGCATTGAATCTAATCCTTATCAGGCCCCTGGAAGAAGCAGGTGTTATATGATTTCCACCTTATATTTCAGGAAATTGAGGCCCAGAGAGGGACCGTGTGCAAGGATGTCAACTCTAGCTTCCTCTGGCTCTGGACCCTGCCAGAGGGGCTGCAGATGGATCCTTCAGGAAACTCAGGAATGACATATCCCTCCTTCATGGCCACTCCTGCCCCTGCAGTGAAAAGAGAGGGAGAGGGGCAAAGCTTTGTCCTGACCCTCACTCTTTAGTCCCTACCCTCTCCTCACCCCTCAGAAGATACCCAAATAGATACTATTTTAAAACCTAATAAAGCATATAAATTTGAGTTACTGTGTGACCTTGGGCAGATTACTTAACCTCTCTGACCCTCAGAGTCCTTTGGAGAGAATACTGATAGAGACTTCCTAGGTTAATGACAAAGGAGAAACAAGGTGGTACATGTAATACACTTAAACAGCACAGTGCCTATGGTGGGAAGTCCTCAACACACCATAGATGTGATGATGTCGTTACTATAATTATTCTTATTTGGGCCATGCCCTCCGCACCCTGTTCCCAGCCAGGGTAGAGGTGAAACCCACATTTCCAAAGGTGAAAAACACACACTCAAGGCATTTTTTTTTACTTCAGACCACCCCCCACCCCCCTGCCAAAGATGCTTGGCTAAAGGGTTCATGGAATGTAGCAGGACTAGCTCCATCTTAGCAATAAAACAATATAAAAATTGATAAATATTTGGCACTTGCCTCAAAACAGATTTGTTCTAGGGTGAGTATGAGTTCTACCTTTGAGTGCTATTTTATTCATCTGCATAGCAGGGTTTATCATCCCTGATGTACACAATAAGACATGGAGACCCAGAGAGGCCAAGAAACTTGCCAAAGACACACAGCACTGGAGTGGGTGACTTGAATTTGAGTTACGTTGGCTAGGCTGCAAAGTTATATAATATTTTGAACAGATGATTCTTGTCGCCATAAACGGGTTTCTTCTGGGGTGGACAAATAAGGAGAATGGGGAGCAGAGTGAGAGAGTTCTGTTCACTCTCTACTCTTTGATATTTTGAATTTTGTATGATACATGCATTACTTATAATAAAATCAAAAGAAATACTTCTAAAGTAACACATTCCATAACTAATGTGCTTCAAATGACACCATTGAGAAAGTAAAGGAAAAACTCATAGAACAGGGGAAAATATTTGCAAATCATAGATCTCCTAAGGGTGTCCTCCCGAGAATATATAAATAAATCTTAAACTCAGCAATAAAAACACTACCAGTTTTTTTAAATGGGCAAATGACTTGAATAGACAATTCTCAAAATATATGTATAAATGACCAATCAAGCTCATGAAATACTGCCCAACATCATTAGTCATCAGAGAAATGCAAATCAAAACCACAAGGAGACACCACTTCACCCCACTAGGTTGGCTAGAATCAAAAAGACAGATCATAGTAAGTGTTGATGAGGGTATAGAGAAACTGGAACCCTCATATGTGGCTGTTGGTTGTTCAAAATGTTACAGCTGCTGTGGAAAACAGTTTGGCAATTTCTCAAATGGCAAAACAGAGAGTAACCATGTGATACAGCAATTCCACTCCTAGGTGCCTACCCAAGAAAAATGACGACACAAATACTCACACAGCATTTTTCCTAGTAGCCAAAAGTAGAAACAGCCCAAATGTCCATCAACTGATTAACGGATAAATAAAATGCATTCCATCCATACCACAGAATATTATTCAGCCTTAAAAAGGAGTGAAGTACTGACACTCACTACAATGTGGATGAACCTTGAAAACCTGATGCTCATCAAGAGAAGCCAGATACAAAAGGCCACATGGTGTGTGATTCCATTTACATGAAACGTCCAGAACGGGCAGATCCACAGAGACAGAGTGGGTTAGTGATGCCCGGAGCTGGGAGGTGTTGGGGAGGATGGGGAGGGACTAATAGACAGGAAGTTTCTTTTTGGGGTAAGGAAAATGTTCTGGGATTAGACAGCAGTGACAACTTCACAACTCTGTGACTATACTAGAAATTGCTGAATTATACACTTTGAAAGAGTGAATTGTATAGCATGGGAATTATATCTCAATAAAAATCATATGTATATACACACACATATATATATACACACATATCATTCTTTTTTAAAAAAAAGTTTTATTGAAGTGTAGTTTATTTGCAATGTTAGTTTCAGGTGTGCAGCAAAGTGATTCAGTTATACTATATTGTTCCTTTCGACTGCAGGACATTTTGCAGCTTACAAAACCCTTATGACGTTACTGTCTCATCTAACCTTCCAAATGCCTGAGATACTTTCAGAGATGATATCTCAGTACTACAGAAGGTCATATAGGTGCTGAGCTTCAAAGGGGGACTGGAGTTCAGGTTTCCCTGGGTTGTGAAGGTTTTCAAGTGGGGATGTTAGGTGCCATCTTGGGAGCTTCTTGGCTGGTACACGTTGAGTTCCTGAGAGTTCCCTCCCTCCTGGGGGATGACGTAGAAGATAGTCTCTGGACCAAGTGAGCTGTGGGCAAGACGGAGTCTGCCATTTCTCCAGACCTGGGCCCTGAGCTGAGTTTACACGGGGAGCCTGCTGCTTTCCGTCCCAGACCCCTGCTCCCCCACAGTCTATGGGGGTGGTTGATGAACCCCTAAGTCTCCCGTGCCTGAATCTGCTGTTTCTTAAAACCAATCATTTTGTCTGGCCCAGGTCACCCTCACATTCTGGGCCTCAGTTTGCCAATGGCAGTGAGGGCTGTACCTCTTTCACAGGCTTACAATGCAGCCACAAAACAAGGTGAGGTGTCTTCGGGCACTTGGATCAAATGTCTTTAGGTTTTTCACAGGTATTGGCCGTTCTCACAACCATGATCCAAGGGAGAGTGGATGAGGGGCCTTCCCTAGCTGCTGTGGGTGAATTTGGGGCTGTAACTGGGCCTCGAGGGATTAAAACAGTTTGCACGTGGGCCGAGGGACTCCTAGTTCATATTCCTGGAGGAAGTTCTGAGAAAGAGAGCTGGGGGAAGGTGTTCCACCTTTGAAAAAGGGTGGGACATAGGCAGGTTCTAAAACCTGGGGGGTCACTGAGCTTGAAGAGGACCCCATGATGATTCGAGAACATTCTGCTCAGAGATCGGTCTTCCTGGAAACCCACTTAGCCAGCCCATGAGCCAAGTCCCTGATCTCCAGCTTGTATTCTAGCGGAGGATAGAGAAGACAAGCAAATCAAAGGAGTTCAGACAATGACCGGTGAGCTGAGTGAAGATGGTTAACCCGAGGCACTGAACAGACATTGATGGGGGCCTGGGAGCTTTTGTTGTTTGTTTGTTTTTTAATGAACATGTGTCAAAAGATTTTATTTCAATCATTAATTGAGGGAGCCAGTAAGATGTTACAATGGATTCAAAGGAAAATCTGAAGAACATTCATATGTAGACAGGTGGGAAATGCTGGAATGAATTTACAAACAGAAGCAAAACATGACTATGTGCAACCACTTTGTATTTCTGTGGACAAGAATCATTGCTCTAAGTAACCGTTTTTCACAACGTACACAGTTGTACAATAGCCCGAAGACGGCAGAGGGCACAGAGACCCCATAGAATCAGACAACGTCTAGGTTTGTCTGGGAGCTGGTTCTTTTATTTAAATGATCATCAGGGAGAATTCTTCAAAGGAGGTGGTGTTTGAACAGAGACCTGAATGAGGGTCTGAGGATGGGTTCCCAGGCTTGTAGGTAAAGGGTGGGTCTGAGTTTTGTGATGGAGGCCAGTGTGGTTGGAGCAGCAGATTAAGAGGGCAGTGAAGGGGCACCTGCAGGCCAGGACTTTATATAAAGTGTCATGGATTTAGCCATAAAAAGGAGGGAAGCACTGACACTTGCTACCATGTGGATGGACTTTGAGGCCACGATGCTCAGTGAGAGAAGCAGACACAGAAGGACACACAGCGTGTGACTCCATGGATGTGAAACGTCCAGAACAGGCCAGTCCTCAGATGCAGAGAGGGGGTTCCTAGTTACCAGGGGCTGGGGAAGGGATGAGGGTGACTGCTAATGGGGACTGCGTTGCTTTGTAGGGTGATGGAAATGTTCTAAAACGAGACAGTGGTGAGGGTTATGTAAATCTGCGAATATACTGAAACCACTGAATTGAACACTTTAAAGAGTAAATTTTGGGGTATGTGAATGACATCTCAATTTTCAAAAAGCAAAGCAACACCCATGTTTAACGGCCGCTGTACTCACAGTAGCTAAACCATGGAAACAACCCAAATGTTCATCCACAGATGAATGAATAAGCCAAATGTAGTCCATCCACAATGGAATATTACTCAGCCTTAAAAAGGAAGGAGATTCCAACACCTGCTACAACATGGATGAACCTTAGGGACGTGGTGCTCAGTGAAATAAGCCAGACAGAAAAGGACAAATACTGTCTGATCCCACTACAGGAGGTCCCTAGAGGATGTCACATCCATAGAGGCAGGAAGTAGATGGTGGGGGCCAGCAGCTAGGGGAGGGGAGGGGGAGTCAGTGTTTCATGGGGACAGAGTTTCAGTTTGGGAAGATGAGAAAGTTCTGGAGATGATGATGGGGATGGTTGCAGAACAATGTGAATGTGCTTAATGTTACTGAATTGTACACTTAAAAATGGTTATAGTGGTAAATTTTATGTTACCAGAAATTTTTTTTAAGTTGAAAAGGAAAGTCGGCCTGGAACAGAATATGAGTGGCCATGTTCCAGCTCATTCCAAAGTCTGGGAATGTCCCATTAGTATGAAGTGTGGTTATTTAGGAATAAAATTAAATCTTTTCCCTTTGGAAAAAATGAAAATTAAAAGAGTAGGAAGTTCCCCCCCCTTAATGTTACTGGAAAGACATTAGCTGGGATTTGAGCAGAGGAGTGCCCTGCCTTATGTTGTGTTAATCACCCTGGGCAAGGCCATTAGGGAGCTGGTGTGGGCATCCCGGCGAGCACAGTGCGAGAAGGTGGAGAGGGTCTCTTTTGGAGGTTGAATTGAGATGATCTGAAGCTGGGTCAGATGTGTTGGGGGGACAGAAAGCAAAAGACCCAAAGAGCATGCCTGGTTTTATGGCACGATGGATGGGTTTGGGATGACAGCCAGGGTGGGGTGAAGAGTTCTGTTTTCCCTTTTGTGATGGAGTGTCCACCAGGTGTCCAGCAGAGGAGCCGAGCAGGCAGGTGGGTAGAAAAATGAGGAGTGCCAGGGTGGGGGTTGGGTCTCCCCAAACTCTGAGGCACATGGCATCCCCCAAGGAAGTGGGGACTGAGAGAGCATCCCAGGGCT